TCATTAAATGGCTAAACCATATCCGCCTTCATGAAAAGGTTAAAGTCCAGTACTTCACAAGAACTAACAAGGGGCATTATTTGAAATAAACAACTTTAAGTCTAGTGCTTTTGCATGGCTTATTAGAGCCCTTGTAACACAATGGAACCTACCAATCAAATCTCTTTTTTAGATGTTTGTGTATTCTAGACAAAGCAATATGGTCTGCTGTGTTTGTAAATTGTTGACGTGTTTGTTATTCGACTTATGCTTCGTTAATACAAATTTATGTAACATATGGTGCCATTTTAGTGGTTTGAAATACATTCTGTTCGTATTCCATAGTTGTGGATTTCAAGCTCTACGATAGTTATCCCAATGTGGACACCTTTTCTTTGGGGGTGCTTACTTGGTTATGTTCTTAGTGAGCTTGTTTTCCTTGCGAGGTGCACACACCATTTGGAGGTGACAGGTTCGATTCCCGGCACGGTAACTGTAGCTTTAGATTTTTATGTTGTCTAGTGTGTCCTTCTGTCTTTCTTCCTTTTTCTATAAGTGCCGGTCAGTACATTATCTCTTTTTTAATTATCTATCTACAGTATTTTACATGAACTGAGAGTCTAGAATTTAGAACTAGTATAGTAAGGTATTTCAGAAGAATTATTGGACCTAAAAAATTTACATGAATAAATAAAGTCCTGTGTTTCACCCAGAGCGGGTATAGGTCTCTCTCTCTACCTCGCTCTCTCTCTCTCTCTCTCTCTCTCTCTCTCTCTCTCTCTCTCTCTCTCTCTCTCTCTCTCTCTCTCTCTCCCCTGTCTGGCGTGTGATATGCAATTGTTGACTTTTTTACTATTGTCGATAGTTGGGTTAAATTTGATGATTAATCTCTCTCTCTCTCTCTCTCTCTCTCTCTCTCTCTCTCTCTCTCTCGCGTTCGTTTTTTCTGCTGTCTTTTTCTGCCTTTCAGCGTCATGTTTTGAAGAGGCATCTGGTGACAGGCTAGGATGTGCTACTTATATGCCAGTATTCACATCATCATATTTTACATTTATCCAGGAACACTCATGATGTACAGTAAAGGGGGACAGGGGAGGCATAAATGGTTTAAAATTCACTGTCTTTTAGCGTTACAGCTGTTTACAATGATGTGAAATAATTAAACTGTGCATCTTAATTACCGAAATATAAATGAATTACCATAGTCAGAACAATGAAAGTGAGGTTAAAACTTTATTAGGTAAAATAAACAAATAATAAAGTAAAGTCTGTTTGAAAAACAAGATCCACTGGAGAAGAATGATGGTCAGAAGCTTATACATTAAATATAGAAACCAAAAAAGAATATATCGAAGGAGAAAAAGAATAGGGTCAACCAGCAATGCACACAAATGTAAAACAGAAATACAGCCCATCAGAAAAAACACAAACATTCACGGAGAAAGGGGAAACATATCCTGAGACGGATATCTCATACAAACAGAGCGTGCCCCCCCCCCCCCCCCAAAAAAAAAAAAACCACGAAAATATTCTAATGATCAAAGTGAAAATTGTTTCCGATACTTTTGTATTCGCCTTCAAAAGGGCGATTATCAACTTCCGTTGTTTTCACAGCTAGGCTGCGATATCTGCACCTTTCAGTCCCACATATCGAATTCCAGAAAACCCACTGTTCCTCACATTTCACACAGTATGTTTATAATGGGACTGGAGTCGTCGTGGCAGAGCAGCTAGACGATCGCGTGTGGATCGGAAGGTCGTGGTTTCGCTCCCTGGCGGAGCCGGACTTTTTTTTCCAAAATGACCTTGACATCCAGGTCGACCCAGCCTTGAGTGGGTACCAGGTGCAGTCCCGGGAAGTAAAGGTGGCCGGTGTGATTCTGACCACATCACCTATCTTGTGACGATTGGTCTATACAAATATAGATCTAGCCCTATCTGCTCTAAACGCCTAAAGGCGTGGAAAAGGGACCTTTGCTTTTTTTTAAAATAATGGGACTGTCAATCTGTTCTTTCCCCCCAAAAATGAGTTTACCGAATTTATGGTATCTGGAGAAAGAGTACGGCATTTGAAAAAGAAATTCTCACACTGGGAGTGTATATAATTGCATTACATTTAAAACTTCTTTGATAACAGAAGTCACCAAACCAAATAAAATATATGGAAGAGCCGCCAGGCTAGACAGCACTCATGTGAAAATAAAAGATATACTCGTTGAACCTGACATAGTAGAAATTGCACAGATCCAGAAAAAGATACACGCCGCCAGAGGAATATCATGATGTACAAATCAGATATCATTACAATAGATTAAATACCAGGAACAGCGGAAAACAAATCACAGAGAATAATCAGTTATGCGAGTCCCGTTAGGAAACTACTGTTTCGCATTATTAAAAATGGACAGGATAAGAAATACAGTGAAACCAGAAATTTCACAGACTAGTTTGAGATTGTTGCCGATACTTGTATGTGCGCGGGGAGTGACGAGTGGTTCTGGCTGATGCTCGAGGCTCAGAGGAAAGGCAAGACGGACCTTAAATCAGAATGCTACTGGCACCATTAGTATTGGAACTCTTCGATGGCTGCTGAAGATGGATACGGAGCGCCTATGGGAATGCCCTGGGTGCTGTGATGTCGGCTCTTGAATCAAATCAAACCATGTGCGCGAAGCGCAGGCGAGAAGCCGATCCGCGGAGAACCATTGACTGACAGCAAACTTGCTGTTTTTAGGGAATTTAAATTAGTTGCGTATCCTTTACAGGACGTTGCAGAACTAGCCCCAGCACTTTCTGGCTGTTGTTGTTTTTCTAGGCAAATTTACGACCAGTAGTTTGCCATTGCCCACTGGACGGTCGGCTCTCGGTACCACGGTCGAAACCATCGCAAGGCAAACCGTCCCAAGCAGGGTTCGAACCCGGCACCCCGACATTACGAAGCGCGTGCGCAACGCCTAAGCCACATACGCCGACTTATTCGGGAATAGATAAATGAATAATTGACATTACTGCTCTATAGACATTTCCATACGTGCTCCATCCCCTTCCTCAGTAGCAAACGAAGAGTTTCTATTATAATGGTGCCAGGTGCAGCCTGATTGAAAGTTCGCCTATTTTAACCCCTGCTGGTAGATACTAGTGAGGACCGTCTTCTCCACCCCCGGTTAAATAATTCTCTCTAGATACGGAAAAAGAGTCTGGAGCTACTGAGATGTGGTTCTTGAAAAAAAATGTTGAGAATACCTTGGACAGCCACAATAAACAACAATGAACTCTGGAAGTGGCTAATGAAAGTAGAACATTATATAAAACAGTGAGAAGGAGACAAAAGTTCTGTGGTCATTTGATGAGAAAAGGAGCACTGGAAAATATCGTGACAACTGGAAAGATAACTGGTAGAAGAGGCAGAGGCAGACCAAGAGAAATGATGGTTGATGGCTTAAGACAGTGGCATGGAGAAATATCATCAGTAGAATTGGTCCAGAACTCAAAGACTGAGATCTGCGGGACGTATGAGCGCCTACGCCAGCTGGCAAAGAACTTGATGATGATGATGATATACTCTGTTCTCTTGCACTGTCTACTTGATCTCATAGAGCCTTCACCACGTCATCTTCATAATAAAATAGCTAACAATCCAGGGGGGTGGCATCAGTGAATCTATCAGCCTGCTCATTACAGCGAACACCAGAGTCAAACCGGCCAAAAATCAACGATATGTTTCTGATATGACTTTATCAAGCGATGCAAGACACTCTTACCGCTTCATGTAAAATGTGTTGTTGCCTGTCCTCTGCGTCTTTAATGCTTATTTTTTATCTGTAGCACCCTGTGACTTCTCTATCTATCTTCTTTTATCCCACAATGACATCACACAAGCGATAAACACCCGATAACACAAAGTGCCACCATGTGGATGAGGATCACCCGTGGAGAGGTCCCAGAAACCGCTTTTAGCCATTAGGCCATATTTATGGCCGGGCTATATTGCGGCCCCTGGCAAGAGCCAGGATGGGGCTTCAAATAACAAAAAATTGCATCCCAGAAAGGGATGACAAGACTTTATGCCCAGATTGTAACTTGGAATGGCTTACTTAGAGTGTGCGCGTATGTGTACATGGATGCGTAGATGTGTAAATGCTGTGCGACTTTGCATCAGAATAAATAGAAAACCCTTCGAAAAGTCAGGTATATTTGTTACCTTTCAGACAAACTGATATTTCAGTTGCAAGTTCTTGCCCGAGAAACATAATTCTTTGTTAACTTCGAATAATATACAAAATAAGAGAACATATTACTCGATAACTGGGTGACTGAGGTTCATAGGGAAAGATTCGTCAAACACCATACTTTTGGACTGATACTTACAAACATGCACACTAACATAAATATGGACATACATACATATAAAGATACACACGCACGCAGCCAAGTACATGCAATATGGATATACGCATAAACACACTCACACACAGCTGCAATACAGTTCCTATGGTGAGTTATTACTGGCAGATTCCTTCTGTCAGTAGTTTCTTTCGAAGTTACAAAAGTAGCAATTTTCATACATTACTGTTTGTCTTTTTTAAATAAATACATTATTATTTCTTTAATAACAGTTTCGACCAAGTGATTATTTACTGTCCGGTGAATTTGTTATCTACTAGCACATACACTCATGCCGTGTGATCTGATTCAACGAATATCTCACCACATTTGATAGAATCTAATTACTTAGGCATCGACAGCTAACGTCATTTTTGTTTCCTAACCCCGCAATGTTGGCTCTTACTTAGCTTCTTCACAAGACCTCCCATGTGACGGCTATGTTATTCTGCTGCTTGTGAATGCGTTTTCTTGTCATGGGTTGTAGTTAAGACCGTAAATCGTCATAGTGGCTACACACAATCAAGAACTTTGCCTTACTAGAGAAAAGAGTCCATGCTTCTCACTTGGCGGACGTATTGTAATTTTAGTTACCCGCTCTTCATTCTTGAAACCACATGTCTCTGAACATGCTGAAGTTAAATTTCAGTCGGTGAAACTGTTTGTTGCCTGGTGACCAGAGGTATGTAAGGATACTTCCGATCGTTCTGCTCCATACTGTTGTAGACCTTCTTCCCCAGATGCGGACTTGACCGAGGACTTTCGTAAACCAGGTTGCCGTTCTCGCTTTCGTGGCTGTCTGGACCATGATGAATGAAGTTGATGCTGGTTACCGTTGTCTGTCCTCGCGAAATGTCTGTCCGAAAGCGGCGCATGGGTCTCAGTCTTGAGCACGTCCGTTTGAGGTGAGATATGACCTGAAAAAAAAAACATAAGATTGGAGGTAGTGCCAGACTCAAAGGTGGACTGAGTCTAAACATACTGGTTCCCAGCAGTGCTTTCTAAACAGCACTTTGGGCTTCTAGAAGAAACAGTACATTTGACCCCGACTACACAACCCCCTCAGAAAAGTAAAAATGAAAATTATAAATAATGTAGATAAGTATAGTTTCTCTGTGTTTGCGAGCTCAATGAGTAACTGCAGTGTGTGTCCCTGCTTTAAGATGGTGCTGCTTCTAAGGAGACATAGGGCCAACCCACAGCTGAAGAAGAGAGGCAAAGAAGACCTTCCGCGAATAAAAGTAATTACCATAGAACTTCTTAAATACGGTGAAGCTATTAGAGTTGAGCTGAGTTTATAACCGACAAAAAAAAAAAAGCACTCAGGACATTCCAAAAAGCGTTTTGTCATCATCTTCAGCAGCCAATGAAGAGTTCCAATTCCAAACTAATTTTTGTATGGCCAAGATAAAATCAATTGATTTAAATTTTCCCTTTTGTTTTGCTCTATGCTGTTAACGCCACCAACGCAGCTGTTACTATGTAAACAAAATGATGAGTTACTTGTCGTCTGCTGACTAGGCAGCGTTACAATTCTACCACATCATAGATGAGCTGTGACTGTTTGGATGACATGCTTTGCTTCATAGATGACATTTTTGTCTTGGACATAATAATTAAAAAAAAAAAGAGATGCGATACTTAACGGTCTGAGCCAATGGCATGGTAGGATATCCTCAGTAGAGCTGATTCAAAGTACCGCGGACCTAGATCTGTGAAGAGACATGAACGCTTACGCTGCTGGGCTGGACACATGATGATATTCGTGATGACAATGATAGAATCCGTCCCACTTTTTAATTTTTAATTACCAGACTGTATATGTCTATCTTGCCTTTTTTCTGAGTGAAGAGTGCCGGCCAGATCCCGAGTTGCATCATTCTATTCAAGCTATTAAAGCAGCGGTTATCATCCTTTGGATCACGACCCTTATTTTTGGTTTGAACGAAGGAGGGGGGTCGATAGGATGTGTTAGGAAGTTTTATGCACATTTCAAACTGATTTCATTTGTGCTCGTAATAATAAGGATTTTCAGATTTAACAGTCATGAAAACAAAACAGCGCTGTCAGCTTGATGTAGAGAGTGTCTTATCCATCTTGAGGCCCAAAAAAAAAAAAAATTGCAGATATCATTAAGATAAAACAGTGTCAAATGTCACATTGATATTTGGACACTAATTAAGAGTTGTAAACTTTGTTTCTTTGTTTATACTTTAACCGTGTGCGTGTTTATCTCCAGGTTCTTGTAAACAGTGCCCATTCATCATTTATAATTATGGAATAATTGTTTGTTTATTCGACGGATCAACATCATGGCACACGGGTGTAACCCATAAGTGCTCCCTTCTACTTCTAACTCAAATCTGAGTCTAAAGAATCTCAGCGCAGAACACGAACTCCATTTCACCGGCGAGGATCCTGAAATACTTTGGGTAGATTTTGAACTCTAAAAGGTGTTTTAGGGGGCCTTCACTTTGTACTTTACTGACTTTGTTTTCGTGATATTTCTTAACAGTTAAATAGATGGTGACACGTGGCGTATTTTAATTTCTAGGGTATTGTCAGGAGAACCACTGCACGAGAAGGTTTTAACTTTCTTATATAATGAATACATGTACTAGCCTCATGTACGAAGCAACATTCCGTGCCGTTTTCTTACCTCCCCGTTGAAGAAACAGAAAATAAGAGCCACAAAGAAGCCCTGAAAAAAAGAAAAAAAAAAAAGAAATGCGTAACGTCAGATAATATGTATTGTCAGCATCTAACAAAGTTACTTCAGTGCGTTCCTAAAATTGTACCCACCCTTAAAAATCTGTAATTCAGTACCCGTTCTGCGTAAATTGTTGACAATTGGCATCCAATTTGTTAACAGTCATGTACTTATGAGAAAATATGTATAATGTAAACAAACATATGGTTTTTATTCTTTCTTTATTTGTGGTATATGGAAAAACGGACACAGATTCAAAGCATATAATTTGCATGTTTACAGTAAATGGCATGAAGTGAAGTTGGCAGAACATCAAAGAGTACGCGTTTTGGAGGTAATCCGTACGAGAAACTAAGAGTTGCTTATTATGAATAATGAAATGGATACGGCATATACTGCCATAATGCTTGTTGCTTGGATTATAAAAACTACACGGCTTGTGTTTTTTATATAGCGTTTTTTTAGGGGCACATACATTATTATTCCGACAAAGATGAAAGAAATCTGACGTTATAATAGGACAGCAGCACCTTTGAGATGTAAAATGTGAAATCATAAGCACATGGGAAATCTAAGATCACACGAAGATATTCCTGTTGATCCGTACCGGAGTTTTCGAGAAATTTGTCAAAGTCTGAAAGCACGAGTTTTGGAACGGACTGTAGTTCCTAATTTACTATGCATGGAAGCAATGTTCATGATCCCTCATTTTTTTTTTAATCGAGACTAGCCTGGTTCGCCTAATTGGCATATATCTGTTTATTGTTCCCTTCTTTTTCTTTTGAATATGTTTATAAAATAGATTCTCAGGTAATGAAAGGCTTTCATATCACATACACACATCTACATACACACACACACACGTGCGTGCGCGTGCGCACATACAGACACACGCTTAAGTGAATAATAAATCAGAGGTCATTACAGACAGCTTTACAAGGATTGAAAGCGATTGGTAAGTCATAATGTGAACAACGCACCTAAAATGACAAAAGGTTCTTTTTGGAGGGGGAAAAAAGTCGTTCAGCTTCCTTTAACTGTTACCATCATGTCAGTTTATATATTAAACAGAGCATTATTACAGATTAGAAAGAAAAGTATTAACATACTAGATGAACTGCGAGTGGAAGGATTTTTCAGTCACTGAAATAACTTAAGACATGATTTCAAAAGTATCATGTAAGATGTAGGATATAAGGTGTATGAAATAGATGATTCACATACTATTATACAACAGCTTGTATAAGCTAAATGCACAGTGAGCATTGAACTTAAATATTTCCAAGTGACTACTGAAAAACCAGGAGAACAGCATAACTAGAATGTCTTTACATTGGAACCCACAGGGGCAAAGGAATAAATGAAGGCCAAAAAACACATGGAGAAGAGAGCTGGAGAATGAAGTTAAAAAGATTGGGAGGACATGGGGGGAGCTCCATGCAATGGCGAAGGATAGAACGACTTGGCGTGAGTTGGTTGAGGGCCTATGCTCCATTGGGGGATAGAAAGGCAGAAAAAGAATACAGAGCATAACTGTAAGAATAAGCATACTTTCGGACACAAACAGTTAGGTTGTCATAGCCTTTTTTTATGTTAACTAAAATCATATAGTGAACACAGTATCAGAACATAACTTTATGATAAGTCTGAAATTTTTCTTTAATATGTTCCATGCCGAGAGGCACATGCGATGTTATTCGTCTGCATATATCCGTCCTCTGTGTTTGGAAAATTTGACACCTGTCTTCTATGTGCTGATTCTTTTGTAGGATTTTAAAAAAGTTCTGTGCCGTCTCTGCAATGGAGGTTGGCTACAATGTATGACTGTTCTCTTTGGGAATATCTTCTTCTACGTTCATCATCATCATCATCATCCTTTTTATCATCATCAGGTGCCTGCAGTATGTATCAGTTTGTATGCTGACACACCTCTATGCCATGCAAGAAGACTCAAGAATCTTCTCTTATTGTCTTCCTCTACCACGCTTTCCACACATGTTTAATCTCTTCTCATAAGATGGCTGAAAAATGATGACTGTCTTCTTCTGATGTCTGCGATAAGTTGTCTTTGGGCTTCTGCCTGTTTCAAAACCTCTTGGTTACTCTTTTTAGCTGTCCAATGTATTTTAAGCATTTTTTTGTAAAACCACAACTCTGAGGCGTTAAGAAATTGCGTTCATGCGAAGATGTAATCGCATTGTGTCCGTTTACAGCATGACTGCGATAGTTGCGCTTTTCAGCCAACACACCTGACTTCTGTGGGCATTTATTGACCGGGTTAGCCTTTCCGGTTGTTTGTGAATCTTTCGTGGTGAGGCCCAAATCTCTTATACTGTGCGACTCTCGCGCCATTATCCGAAATCAATGAGAAAGGATTTTTAACTTATCCACCGCGGGGAATGAGCCACAGTACTCGATAATAGACAGAATACATATTGACAAACATTGTGGTAGTAATAATAATTATTATTATTATTTGTGTGTGTGCTGAATGACAAATTAAAATAATATTACATTTCAAATAATATTAAATGTACAAACGAATACCATGTTGAAAATTTTCTAAGGGGGCAAACCTCAGTTCTCTAGGATTTATAAGGCGCCAAAACAAGATTCCGGCTTATTGGATATCGTCAACTATCTATACTGGACTACAGATTCCTTCGTAACAGTTTTGTGATACCGGTATAACCGTGCTCTATGACTGTAAAGTTGAACGGGGTTTCTGTGATTCGGAATATAAGTTAAAAAAAAAATTAAAAGGTGAAGGTCCCTTTTCCACGCATTAAGTGTATAGGGCATTCTGGTCTAGACCTATATTTGTACAGACCAATCAGTACAAGATGAATGATGTGGTCAGCATTACGCCAGCCACCTTTACTTTCCGGGACTGCACCTGGTACTCAATCAAGGCTGGGTCGATATGGAAATCGTAGACATTTTTCAAAAAAGTCCTGCTCCACAAAGGAGCGAACCCACGAACTTCTGATCTATATGCGATAGTCTAGCCGCTACGCCACAGCGACTTCCCCTGACGGAATATAATAATAATAATAAAAATAATCATAATAATAATAATAATCAAAATAATAATAATAAAAATAATCACTTGATGAGGAAATCAATGTCGAATGAATAACAACACACAACAATTATGAAAACATACATACACACACATACCAGAGATAGCTTACCTGAGAGTTTAAT